AATACAATATAAATATACACTACAAGAAAAATCACTTTTCGCGACTAAAATAAATTTTTTCGTCGCTGAAAGTAGTACAAATGGCGACTAAAATGGATTTAGTCGCCAAAATTGGTGACTTTTGCCGACTAAAAGAGTTTAGTCGCCGAATACACAGCTTTTAGCGACTAAAAGGCAGTTTAGTCGCCCAATGTGAGGGTTTTAGCGACTAAAGGTTGTTTAGTAGCCAAAAGTGATGGTTTTGGCGATTAAAAAACAGATTAGTCGCCGATTGTTGGTGTTTTGCCGACTAAAAACAGTTTAGTCGCTGAAAGTGAAGCTTTTTGGCTATAAAAAAAAATTAGTAGCTAAAAACAGTCCATTGCCGACTAAAATTCAGTTTAGTAGCCAAAAGGGGACATTTTTGGCGACTAAAAATAGGTTTAGTCGCTAAAACTATTTATTTTTAGGCGAAACTTAATTTTTTTGCGACTAAATTATAATTGGTAGCCGAAAATGATAGAATTGGCGACTAAAAATTTAATTTAGTCGGCAAAAGTGGCCTAAATTTTTTTTTTACATAAAGTATATTGAATTAAAAAAATTATATTTATATATATTATTTTGTATTAATAGCGGTTAATATACTATATAAATAATATATATTGCATATATATTCAAGTGATGTTATTGTGGCATAGTGGAGGGAGTGTGTTGCAAAAGGTTTGGAGTGTGGTGGTGGGATGTCTCTAGTTCAAAACCTGCGAGTAACATGTTCAACATTTTTTTTTTTAAAATACGCTTTTGGCGACTAAAAGAGGTGGTCGCCAAAAGCTTCAGTATTGGCGACGAAAAAAATAGTTGGGAAATGTATAAATTAAAAAAAAATGATTTACTATTGGCGACTAAAAATTTAGTCACCAAATGTATAATTAAAAAAAAAATAAAGGAGCTTTGGCGACGAAATTTGTGGTCGCTACAGAGTTTGTTTTTGGCGACTAAAAGTGGGTTAGTCGCCAATACCTTCCGCGACGTTTTTCCAGCGACCAACATGGTGACTAAAAAAATTTAGTCGGGAAAACCTCAAACCCGACTTTTGGCGACTAAAAATTTAGTCGCCAAAAGTGATTTTTCTTGTAGTGATAATACGCACACGAATTTCTAGACTTTAGGAATAAAAAGGTTTTAGAATATTTCTAACCTTTCATCATTTTCTTTTAATTTTTTTTATCTAATTTGATTTTAAATTTGAATAAAAAATTTAATTTGATATGAATTACTTTAACTTTTCATTAATTTTTTTTTATCAATTTTTAAAAGAACATTCATTTTTATCCCATTTTTTTTTTCTTTTCATCAATTTTGATGAAAAAAATAATAATTTCCAACGCTTCATCTTTTTAAATTTTTATCAAATTATAATTCAATAAAAAAAACATTAAGAGTTGAAGATTTTCTTAATTAGAATTATAGTGAAATAGCTTTTTGAAATAGTAAAAGTTTGAGTATATAGTTGGTTGAAATGTATAATTGGATTAATTCTCTTCTCATATTTGTATAAAAATTGACACTTATAATCACATCATTATAAGTTGGATTATGGAAAGTTTTTCGTGGTGTCAAACAATTATCATCTGTAAATATCCTACCAATTAAAAAAAAAGAAAAAAAAATGTGTAATTTATGGATATGCGTTTATCAATTTTGTTTTGTGAACATAAACAACTGATATTTCAATTTAAAAAAATTAAAAAACATAATAAAAAAATAGATTGGATTTTTGGGGATAAAAGAAGCCATCTAATGCATCTATATACTATTTTAAGATGAATTATTTTAATCACATAAAAAAAAAATTATATGTAGAGATTATCCCTACATATTATGCTGTTATATACAAATATAGTGGTAACAAATTAATTAATATATATGAAAAGGTATTCATTTTCAATTAATTGAATTATGATTAACAAAATAACAAATAACAATAGTGGTATAATAGGATAGAAAGAAGATAAAAAATAAATAAAAAAAAATAATGATATTTAAAGGTTTTAAATTTACCTAATTATAAAAAAATCTAATGTTATAGTACAATCTTGAATTCCCAATAAATTTTCACATTTTCTATAAAATAAAATGACAATAAAAAATAAAAAATTTGATACCTATTTTTTTACTTCAAATTTATGGTTTTCATTGAAAAAAACAAAATCTGATCAAAATCCTTGGCACATAACGGGCATAGATATTTCGATTACAACCATCATCACCCATAATTCTTGTCCACTATATAAACCAGTAAACAAACACATAAATCTCACTAAAATCGAAACTAAAATAAAACCAATAATAGAGAAGAGAATCACACAAGAAAAAAAAATAGAATTAAAAAACAAATAAATTTATAGAGTGGTAGGATATCACCCTCCAACAACTTAGTTCCCACCCTGCCTAATCTGTTAGCTCCTCTGCCAATGCCTGCGAAGTCTAGGAGTTGGATGACTACTCAGATTATTCTTTAAATAAGACTTAAAAATTGATTAATTTATCCCATTAAGTGATTTAAAACTTTGATAGATTTACATTAAAAAATAGATAATTATATTATTAATTATAAAATTTAGATATTGTCATATTTTTTTTAGATCTATATCTAAATTCTTATCTTATTTATTTTTGTGTGGTTTCTATTTGTTTTTAATTATTATTATTTAGGTAAGTTATGATGTAAGTTAGAAATGTGATAGACATGAGAGTTTTATTGATTTAAAATATGATAGTGTGAGATATTTTCAAATTAGATTTGTTTAGATAGACTTTAAAGATTTTTAAAATTGAATATTGAGCGGTAAAAAAAAGATTTCAATTGAATAAATAAAACTTATCGTTTTTAATTTTATTTTTTTGTATATCTGATTTTTATTTTTATTTTTTGGGTTATGTTATAATATAATATATAAAATATAGATAGATATCTACAATTTTCATGAAAAATATTATCTAATTTTTGAGGGAGAGAAAAGGAAGGTAATTTTTAATATTTTTTTTTGGAAATCAATGAGAGAAATTATAATGGAAAGATTATGAAATGTTTTTGTTGTCTTTCCATTTGAAATTCATAAATTAAGGAATAATTATTATTTCCAAAATAATTAAATAAGTATGGGAGAAGTAGAAAATGGTGTGTATGAGAGAAGTAAAAAAGTGCTGAGTTTTTTTTTTTTAAATCAGAAAATTATGAAATTAAGATTAAGGCATTAGAGGAGGTATAAGGAAGAAAGACATAACCAGCAGCATCAAACAACAAGATTTGGATCCAGAATACCATGACCGTCGGGTAGAGACCCGGGGTCGCTATACTTTTTGTACTTATTCTTAATGGATTAAAATTTTATTATGAGGGGTTTTGACTATTTTTTTTTTAAATTTTTTAAATCCTTCAATAAGCGTACATATATGTAATTTTTATCTTCACATTTTTAATTTATCTTAAAATATTTAGGCCAAATGAATTGCTACCCAATTAATATTTGCAGGTAGGTATAATAATGATTAATTCAATGACAATTATAATATTATAGTTATACCTTATCTAAAAACTAATTGCCCAATCTTATAATATAAAATAATATAGTAATATTTCTGTTATTATAATATATTATTTGAATAATATTATAATAATCATATTCGTTCATCACGTTTCATATATTAGTGACATACAGATTAGTTAATATTAATAGAATAATTCTATATGTACCAATTATTGTATTAATTAATGATGTAATATAATTTAAGAGATTTTAGTATTTATAATTTGTATAATGATTGAAATTAATAATAATATCATAATTAATATTGATGCATTAGTTAGTATACTAATTAATACATGTAATACCACCAAACATTAATGTGAATTTATCGTTGTCATTAATTTTAAATAATGTGCACGTGCACCAATTGGTAATAATATTAATAACATATATTATAACATTATAATTTCAAAATTATGAACGTCATGCATTCTACAAACTATAAAGATTTAAACCTTTAAAATTATGTCACATTACCTGTTAATATACTAATTAGTATATCAATGGGTGCATAAAGTTTTATTCTCATACAATACATATACGATTTGTTTAATTGGGTAGATTAATTCATAGGACTCAAATTTTATTGTTTAATTGTAAATTTTATTATTCGAATTAGAATTCAATTGTCATTCTATTAAATAAAATAGATGAATTTTGTAATTCCATAATTAATAACACAAAACATATATATATATATAATTGAGATTTTATTTTATATTTATTGCAATGCAAACATAGATAAGAAAGAATTATGTGTATCATTAATCTAGTTGAATAACCAATTTTACATTAATATTTTAGGAGTGTTCTGGAAAGAGAATTGGGTAAAAATAGCTCATTAAAAGATAAAATAAATTAAAATACTCAATAAGATCAAATGTCACATTTAACATATAATTATTTTTTTTATAAAAAAATTAATCAATTCTAAAGGTCGGTTTGATATTGGCTAATAATATAGCTAATTTTTTTGTGTTAAGATTTTTTTAAACTCATTTGGTTTTTGTTTTTGAGTTTTTTTGATTTTATGAGAGAAAAAATATAATAATTATAAATAAAAAATAATATTTTATCTTATTAACTTATATAATATATTTCTTCTTTTTATATTTTTTTAACTATAGTGAAAAAACCGAACTAACACCAAACACAAATGAGGGGAGGTAAATCAGGTGTTTGCAAAATGAGACAATTCACCACTCAAAAAAGGCAGTAAACAAATGAGGGGAGGTAAATCAGTCATTATACAAGGTCAGGCCGCAGTCAAAGCAGAATGATTCGTCACGGAAGCACTGCTGTCGTGTATCCGCAAACGGTTTATTCCAATCCGGCGGGTAGTCCCATCCATCATCGTCACCATCATAATACATACCCACCCACCAACAACATCCACATACATAACATACCCATCAACCACATACAACATACATCATCATCATCATTCATCAACAACCCTCAAACTAACCCCCTCTCTCTCCCCTCTATATATTCCAACCAAGTCCTCCATTTTCCCTCTCCAAACAATCCCAATTCCCATTCCAACAATCTCATAGTCCCAATTCTAATTCCCAACTAAATGGGTGAGGTTAGTCTCTAGTCCACTAATCTTCTTCCCTAAATCCCACTTCACAATTAATTCTCAATAATAATTTATTTACATTTTTTTTTCTTTGCATATTTTCCCAGAAAGATGTAGCGAAAAGTGCGCCGGAGGAGAAAAAGCCCGACGCGGCCGCCGCAGGCGCCGGCAAGAAAGACGACGGACCAATGACCATCGTCTTGAAGGTCGACCTGCATTGCGAAGGCTGTGCCAAGAAAGTCAAACGCGCTGTTCGTAATTTTGATGGTATATTAAATTTTCGCAATTCAGTAAATTTTTTTGTATCGATTTTTCATTCACAAGAAAACTGTGACTGAAATTTGAATCGCAGCTTTGAAGAATTCGATTAAAATCTCAATGTATTTATATAATATATTTTTTTATGATTATATGAAGGTGTGGAAGATGTGAAGGCGGACATTGCGAGCCACAAATTGACGGTGACGGGGAAGGTGGACCCAGCGAAGGTTAGAGAGAGAGTGGAAGAGAAGACTCATAAGAAGGTGGAGCTTCTCTCTCCTCAGCCCAAAAAGGACCGCGGGGCCGGCGGCGGAGATAAGAAGTCTGACGAGAAATCGGAGAAGAAGCCCGAAGAAAAGAAGGCGGACGATAAGAAACCTAAGGAGGTACTTTTCTAACTTCCGCATCTATTTGTTGATGCTAACATGCGCTTTTGTTCAAGTTGATTTTTTCTCTCTCAACTACTCCGCTGAATTGGGCCCGGTGGAGGTTGTTAAGTTGCGCATGTTAGCACAATTGGGCTATTGTTTTTGAACCTTTTTTAAGACTTATCCAATTAGTGATTAATTGAGTTTCAACTTTCAAGCATATGACAACTCATGGTTCCAATTTTAAGAGTCAATCATTTATTTTTCTCTTTTAGCTTAAATTCACAAGGCAAATGTTAATAATATAATTTTTTGTTTTATACGTAATTGGTTACTATAATAATGTCGTAGTATCATTTAAATAAATATTTCGTTTTAAAATAACAAATCCAAATACAGACACATCTTTTTGCTAAAAAATTATATATATTTTTTATGTTTATGTATCGCTACTCACTACTCAACTTGTTTATAAATCTTTAATTTAGCTTGGTTTAGTTTTTGAAGTTTTTGAACTAATTTAAGGAAAATACTAGTATTAGTGGTTGACAATTTTTATACATGTTTAACAAATAATATGATAGTGGCTTTTATATAATTAAAATGCATCTTGATGAATTTTATATTTTCAAGCAATGATGCCCACAACTCGGCCACAATATAATTTTTTAGTATAATTTCTTGTTTATTTTTTTATTTGCTGATTAATAATTTGATTTTTTTTTTTTTTTTTTTTTAAGCCTCCGGTGAGTACAGTGGTTTTGAAGATTCGTTTGCATTGTGAAGGATGCATGCAAAAAATAAAACGAATAATTTCAAAGATCAAAGGTGAGGTTACCAAACTTTGATTTAATTAACATTAAATTGTTTGTTAAATATATTATAATTGCTTGAACCATATAAATACAAATTAGCTTCCGTATGCAATCATCTTATTTAGGGTTCGTTTGGCATTCATTTTTTTAGTCAATTCTTTTGTGTTGCGATTTTTTTAGCCTTGTTTGGCTTTTGTTTTGAGGCTTTTTTGACTTTTGTGATAAAAAAAAGTGTAATAATTATAGATAAAAAGTAGTATTTTATCTTATTGACTTATGTAGCATATTTTGTCTTTTTGTAATTATTTAGCTCCAAAATGTTAGCTAAACCATGGCTTAAATTGAATTTAATTATTATTTCGAGTATAAACTTAGCTGTTGAATGAAGCTACGAGCCCCAAGTGTACTAGGATTCTATGATTATTATTCCCTTTTCATTCTAATTTTTTTTTGTGTTGTGAAGGGGTATTTTGATCTTTTTAGTAGCTAATGGTGATCCATGAATTGTGAACAGGGGTAACCACGGTGACAATAGATGGGGCGAAGGATTTGGTTACGGTGATAGGGACAATGGATGTGAAGGCCCTTGCGCCATACTTGAAAGAAAAATTAAGGAGAAGCGTGGAGGTTGTATCACCACCAAAGAAAGAGGAAGCCGGTGGAGAAAAGAAAGATAAAGAAGGCGGGGGAGACAAAAAACAAAAAGATGGCGATGGTAGTGAGAAGAAAGAGGGTGGTGGCGGTGAGAAAAAAGATGGTGGCGAGAAAAAAGATGGTGATGAGTCAAAAGCGACTAGCAGCGGCGGAGATGGAAAAAAGAGTGATGAGCCGAAGGTCGAGCTAAACAAAATGGAGTACTCTGGACACACTCCATCTTCATATTACACTGTACCAGTGCCTAATCAGGGATATGTGAATCAAGGTTACGGTATGCCTGATTATAATCAAGGCTACATTAATCCATATTACAATCAAGATTATTCCAATCACGGTTATGTTATGGACTATTCTTACGCACCTCCTCCTCCTCCTCCTCCTCTGCCTCCGCCGTCTTACATGCATGCACCTCAAATGTTCAGTGACGAGAATCCTAATGCATGTTCTGTCATGTAATACAAATGACAAATGGATCTCAAATATTTCATAACGAGAACCCGAACGCATTTTCTCGGTCATGCAAGATAAATGACAAAATGCGACGTGGATGTTACGGGTTCTAAATTGTAAATAAAATATAAAAGGAGACTATATAAGTATATATAGAAGAAGATATAAATAGAGAATGTAAAATTACAACTTTCCTTTGGGGAAATGTCATATAGGTTAGAATAGACGGTTTGGTTGCCGGCTGGGCGGTTTTGAACCGTTTGATTTGGTGGTAGGTTGGAGGTTTAGATATTGTTTCACTTGTTTGTATTTACATGGTTATAAATTGAATTTTGTGGTATTTATTAATGTATAAATACACAAAATTAATGTTGAGCGATGCATTCAAATGAAGCCATTTGGCGTGCTTTTTTGTGTTAGTACCTAATTTTTGTCTAATTGATTTAGAATTAAATAAATTTGTACCATTTCATTTGGAGTTGTTTGGTGGTGGGGCTAGTCGCATCTTATTTTTGACAATTTGAGTGATGAGTGAGTCAGAGCATTTAAGTTCCAACGTGTATATCCCTTTCAAATAGGTAATTTTGTAACATTAGTAATGTTTTATGTTGGCTGGATATCAAATTTTGGATACACGTGTCACCAATTTATTGGTTTGATAAATTTCAAACTTCATATCTTATATCAATGCATTGGCTTGGTAGATGAGATATTATGCAATTACAATTTTTTTTTTTCTTTATTCTCCTGCAACAGACAACTGATCGTTAAAATAATTAAAAATATCAATGCATAAGCAATATATATTTTTGAGGACATGGGAACAATACATTGATAAATACATATTTTTGAGGACATGGGAACAATACATTGATAAATACAGAAAAAGATCCTAAAGGTCATTCTAACCAAACAGCAAAAGAAAAACTATAACAACAACAACAAAAAAACAAATCTACCAAAAATACAGCTACGATCTAAGAAAAACCACCGATCTGCTCAAAGATATAGTCTGAAAGAAAGCCCGTCATCCCTGTTGACAACTTCCCTGTCGTTGTTGCCCAATGTCGCGCTGTCGCCGGAGAAGGGATGACACCCACAATGGTATGGAAGAAAAGTGTAGAGTGGAGGGAATCATTGTGGGTGTCAAAATATCAAAAATCTATACCGAAATCGGAGGAGAAAACTCTCAAAACTTCTATTTTAGACATAAAAAGTCTAAATCTACAATCATGTGATGTATTTGGAAGGCCTCAAAGCCTAAATGACTAGTGAAAGATAGAGTTTCTTTTCAATGCCAACAAGTTGATAATATAATATGAGGCATTATCATTTTATTTTTTTTAATCGCATAGTTTTTGTTTTATTGCCGAAGTTTTTCTCACTATGTTGTTATTTGTTTTTTTCATTTTGTTGGAGGTTCAAAACAAAGCAAGTCGATTATTCCAAAATACTCTTGTTTATGTTAAACATTTGGACAGAAGTTGGCATGATCCCTAAAACCTAGTGGATTGTCACCAATTAAAAATGTTCCTAATTATTTGCTTTTTGAAAAATTAAGAAAAAGTAGTTTGCTTGCTTATTTAAATAGCCAATTGCTAAAGTCAAAAAAAAATTGATGAGAAATTCACTTCGAGAGGTGTACGTTATTAAGTGTAAGGATTGTTTTGTTTTTCGTGGTAAGGACATGATTAATAAAATTGTTTAGTCAAAAGGATAAAATATTGTTTTGAAGGATAATTTTTTTTTTTATTTATTCACCGTTGCTAGACCAGCATTAAACTATCGGTGGTTAGAACCGGAAAAGTCGCCGGAGGTGAAAACTAGCGGTGGTGATTGTGATATGGGCAGATAAGTAAATTAAGTGGACAAATAGATGAAATAGATAGATTAAGTAAATAAATAGATGGCATTAATAGATTACGTTCGTATTCAAAATAATTAATAGCCTATTTTAAATATTACAATTGACATCCATTTCTTTATAATAAATGTGATATAATCATGTGATTATAGTTGTCCAAACAATCTTATTTTTTGTGAGGATAATCTTCTCAGCCCTTCAACAAGAACGATTCAAATTATATGGTGGGCTCACAAGGCTCAACAACACCTCTAAACTAATTGATGAGAAGTCTCTCCCCTTAAAAACAACAGAACCCGTGTGATATGAGAAGTAACGAAAGAAGCAGTCCTTTATTACTTAATTAGAATATTATGTTTTGCATCTCCCCTTAATGCTGTTGGCTTCTCCATTTTATTAGAAGGTTAAATGAGCTTCAAAATATCATCAACCTTGGCACACTCTTGACTTCTATTAAAAATACCCTCAAAATGCCCTTTCTTGAATATAAAGGCTAAGCACCCAAAAGGATTTTTGACGATTAACTCATTTTTAGGGACACATTTTTAGGCTTTTGAATTACGAACAAAAAAGTAACAAAAGTCATTTTTCTCTTCCTTTCTATCTTTGTTACTTTTCTTAATCTTTTAAATACAGTCTAAAAGTTCAAGAAAACTTTTCGCTTTTTCTTTTTCTTATTACAAGCTAATAGCCACTTCTTTTTGACAGTTTGTTTTTCCAACTTTCTGATTGAGAGGGTGATTTATGTAAATAAATTAGGCCGAGTTACGTAAATCTGTTTTTGGAGAAAGTCACATGATGGGCCGAGATAAAGACTTGGGTTACTCGGTATATGTCTTTGCGGTCACTCAATCATCTAGTGGGCATAATATACATTCTAAATAGAGAAAGTCAAGCTAGGTTTAGCTCGGCGAAGTAACTCTGGCTGTCAAGGACCGCGTAGTTCGGTCAGAAGAAGAATGGGACAAGATAGCTCGGCTAGGCACAGTGAGCCGAGCAGGGTGATTAACCATCTCACTTGGTTAGCTGTGAGGAGGGTGTTCTATAGATAAGTATTATCCTTAGATATGTAGCTCTTAAGAGGACTCCTCTAAAGAGAGTTAAAGTCCTACTAGGAGTGCGCCATGCGGAATCTACAAAAGCTCATGATTACACCTATTTCCAGGTATTACAATTCTTACTTACAAATACACATAACTTATTGTCTATTGTCTACTTGTTGACTTAGGCATCGGAGGGGTTTTTGGCACGCACCCGTCGGCTAACTCACATGTGTTTTCAGGTAGTAAAACGACGGCGTTTACAGGAGTGTAAACTTGGTCAATAAGATTATATGAGAAGATTATGTCGTACTCTTACACTGCTAATAAAACCTTCTTCTTTTTTTTTTTGTCCTTTTTATCCAATGAGAATAGGTTTTTTTATTCTAGTTTGGATTTTGAATCGAAGAGATAATGTCCCAAGTATGAAATGTTTTTAAGTCAGTGTTTTAATTTAGGTTTGTGGGTAGAGGTCAAATTTGGACTTTAATTTGTAAGAAAATACAAATTATATCAGTGGTATCTATATTTTGTTTTTTATGTCAATTAAATTTACATAGTTGTAATTATATCAAATTTAACCTTTACTTTTTCACATTATATCAATTTAGTTCTTTTGATAACATTCATTAAGAAATTGGAAAGAAAAAAAGGAAAAATGGTTCATTCTGTAACAACTTAAAAATTTAAGTTATTTCTTAAATTTTACATTAATTATAAATGAGAAAACTTCTAAATGTTTAATTAAATATTCCGTAAAATAAAATGTGACACTCTAAATATTTAATTAATATCATAATTAATTATGATAATAATAGTGGTGGTAATAATAAAATTAAATAATTGATTTTATGATTAGGAGTTATTATTTTATTAATTAGAATTAATCTAATAGATGTAGATAAGTAAAAGGAACAAAAAAAAAAAAAAAAAGGAGGATAATATTGAATCTAACAAAGCTTAACAAAGCTTACACGCGTTGGTGATCGGGGCTTTCCGTGGCTTGTTGCCCACGGTTGCCCCCCTATAAATGGGGAGGATTGGCTCATGATATAGGTAATAACAAAATAAAAAGAGAGGAAGGGAATTTGAAAGTAAGGAAAGCTGTCGACGACGGAAAGTAAAAGTGAGCTATTAATTTTAAGGTGAGTTATATTATATCTTGAGTCACCATAATATATTTTACATATGTTTTGACTTATTATATTTATGTAAATGATAAAGCATTATAAATTAACGCAGCGGATAAAAATAATTCGTATCATACCTTAATGACACAACCTCGTGGGTAAATCACGAGTTTCCAAAATCTGATCAGTCAACGAACCCAGCAGTGGAGTGATACTACAAAATGAGTATCACCCACACAAGTCACAGTGCAAAATGGCTTGATCGTTGTTTTCTGGGAGAGAGTCAAAGAGAGAGTCTGGGAAAAAAGGTTATGGGTAAAAATCACATAACGTATATCTGATATACGTATATCTTTAGATTAACCATATAATCTGATATATAACCAATATCTATCTATCCATCTATCCATATCTATTGATATGATAGATATAGATATCTTGAATGGTTATCCAAATAAGTTTTGAATTCAAATTCAAACTTACATGGATAAGGTTCAAAAGGTTCTAAGGGTCATGCCACATGGGCGCCTAATTTCTAACATGTCCCACTTAGACATGAGTTGGCATGACACTGCCACATCTCTATCTCAATCTCCCCAAAAAATAAACAATCTCATACTAGCCACTGCACCGTGCGACTGCTGAGAACACCTGCATGTGGGAGCTCTATACTAGAAACTCAAAATAAGCCAGCATAGAGACATCAACCCAAAAAGAACAGAAATAGTGTCTCATATACCACAGACCCATCTAATTACATCGGTCTAAAAAACATCTCTAATCCCTCAAAAAAGCATATTTGACCCTCTCAACTCTTGCAATATACTCACACTCAATCTGCTTCTCATACAGAGCGATGTGAGTTGCCGGCAGTGAATACACAACTGTGGTGTAATACTAGATGATTTTCCCTTTGCCCTCATGCCATTTAGTTTAGGATTGACCGCTTTCCAAGTGATGTCCCTTAAGGCCGAATCATACATGACCGCAAGCAACATACCAAAGTAGAAGAACATCAACCCCTTACCTTATGACATAGTCAAAAGTCACAAAAGGGTACATAAATGAAAGTCATATCAATAATGACACGTAAGACTCACACGGTGAGGAAACAGGGATCCATTCTCTCACCTCATTACTCGGTCGCCAAGCACATATAGTATGAATACATGTTACGGTGGAGTAACTCTTCCAAAAGAGTGACGTCATACTCAATACACCGTACAGATATTAGTATAGTCGCTTTCTAACGCCTAACCCGAATTCTCTATTTGCTCGCCTGAATCCGCGATCTCCGCTCGAGTGCCCAACATCCCGCTCGAGCGGCTTCAACAAAATACGCGTGTGGTGACACAGTGGTCCGCTCGAGCGCTTCATCACCCGCTCGAGCGCA